CAAAAGCCTACAATAGTTTAGATAGGGAGTTCATCCGACAAGTCTTATTAAAGTTAGGATTTCATGAGAATCTAGTCAACTGGATCATGCAGTGTGTTACTATGGTAACCTATTCTCTACTTATTAATGGAGCTCCTAGAGGATATGTCAAACCGCAAAGAGGAATTAGACAAGGAGATCCGATCTGACCATACATGTTCATCCTTTGTAGTGAGGTTTTGTCTGGTCTATGCAACAGGGCACAGGCGAGGAAAAAGTTACAGGACTTCATGTGGCAAGAGGTTGCCCCAGGGTTAACCATCTCCTATTCGCTGATGACACTATGATATTCTGCAATTCCAATACTAAAAGTTGTAAAGCCCTTAAAGATATCCTGGAAAAGTATGAGAAGGTTTCGGGTCAGCTTATAAATTTCCAAAAGTCATCGGTGACATTCTCAACTAAAACCCCACAGGCGAAGAAAGATCAGATTATGGCGCTGTTACAGATCAACTCGGAAGGAGGAATGGGTAAATACCTTGGGCTTCCTGAACATTTTGGCAGATCACGGAAAGATCTCTTCTCTTCGATAGTTGATCGCATAAAGCAAAAAGCAGTGAATTGGTCTTCAAAATTTCTCTCGGGGGCTGGCAAGATGGTAATGTTGAAGAGTGTTTTAGCAGCCATGCCCTGTTATGCGATGACATGCTTTAAACTGCCTCAATCCCTGTGCAAAAGAATCCAAACTGCTCTCACTAGGTTTTGGTGGGACTCTTCGCCTGACTCAAAAAAGACTTGCTGGATCTCGTGGGAGAAAATGACGAAACCGAAAAGAAGAGGAGGACTAGGTATAAGGGATATTACCAGTTTTAACGACGCCCTCCTAGCAAAGTTAGCCTGGAGAATTCTTCAAAAGCCAGACTGTCTCCTGTAGAGTATCCTTTTGGGTAAATATTGCAACGATGAAGCCTTTTTGGAATGCAAAGCTCCCTCAGTAGTCTCGCATGGTTGGAGAAGTGTGTTAGTTGGCAGAGACCTATTGATCAAACAGCTGGGATGGGCTCTAGGGAATGGCACCTCGATCAACATCTGGACTGACTCATGGCTATCTATCACAGATGCCATTCGACCCTATGGACCTGCACCAGAACATCTACAATACCATAAGGTCAAAGATTTATTCAGGGACCACAGTGCTGAATGGGATCCGTTAAAGATATATCAGATCCTACCTGCGTATTCTAAAACGATCCTCAGCCTTAAACCTAGCACCCTAGGAGCGGAGGATAGAAGAGTCTGGCTTAAACACTACTCGGGCGAATACACCTCTAAATCCGGCTACTTTGTAGCAGTTGACTCCGATGAAGGCGAGATCCCGAGTGCTTACATAAACACCGTTGATTGGGAGAATCTGGTCTGGAAGCAGAAATCATCCCCAAAGATAAAATTTTTCTTATGGAAAGCGCTTCATAACGCACTCCCAGTGGGAGACCAACTAATGCTAAGATAAATCCCGGCTAGTTATACCTGCTGTAGATGCGGATTGCCTGAATCGGTGCTCCACCTCCTTTTCCATTGCTCCTTTGCATCTGCAGTATTGAATGCAGCACCAATCTATAATACCTTCGATCCGCGGGATCAAATCAATGTCAAATCGGGCATAAAAAGAGCTAAAGAATGCTACTCTCTACCACCCCTTGGCTTGGAAAGAGGAATCCTATCCCCCTGGATTTTTTGGAACCTCTGGACTGCCCGAAACCATAAAGTGTTTAGCAACCGAACCTTTACGGTAGGGGAAACAGTTCAAAAGGCACTCTCTAATGCTCGGGAATGGTCAATGGCTTAACCCTCCCACACTCAAGGCACCGCTTCTCCTCCCCAAATCAGCTACCTAAACCCTGTTCCTCAGGAGGAAATATATATTACCTGCTTCACCGACGCCGCTTGGAAAGTCCAATCGAAATGTGCAGGCATCGGATGGACCTTTGCGAGAAGGCAATCCATCTTCTCGGAACACTCTTCAACGATCTCCAATGTTTCTTCAGCCTTAATGGCGGAAGCTTTGGCGATCAGAGATGCATTGCTCCAAGCGAAATCTCTGTTCTTCAACAGAGTATCTATCCTCTCAGACTGTAAGTCGATTATCAGTGTGATCAATTCGGGATCTCTGGTGGCAGAGATCTATGGAGTTCTATCGGATATTGCCTTATGCTCTGCTTCTTATTTCTGTCAAGTTTATGTTTATTCCCAGAGCAGCTAATGTTAGAGCTGACTCTTTAGCCAAACAGGCTCTTTGTAACCTATTGGAGATGCTTTAATTTTCTAATTGAATGATTGGCCCCAAAAAAAAAAATACATTTCAAAATAAATGAATATATCTTCGCATATAATCTATGAATGATGTTCATAAATGTCACATTTCGATGAATAACTTAAAAACATAAAATTAATGTATGTATTCATAATTACATGTATTCTTCATCTACACTTTCTTCATTATACATACCTAATTATAATTATGTAGAATTTATAACTGTAAATATGAGCCAATTTAAAACACAATCCAATTCTTATACTAATAACATACTATTCAGCCCAAAATTAATAACATTGTACCCATACACACTGACAATTATCAATATTGTAATATTCGACCCAATAAACTTAATAATATACCCAATAAAATTAAAATTTTAAAAAACGTTCGAGCCCGCACATGCGTGCGGGCCAGTATCCTAGTCAAACAATTAAATATCAAAAACCTTATATGAAATATGACTGAGGTATTCTATCAAACATGAAATAAGTATTTTTCTTTTCAAAAAGAGAGAGGGGTTATACCGGTTATCTAATAAACATTAAAAAAATAGAAGAAGAATTAATCCAATCGATTTCAACATGAGAAAAAAAAATATTTCGCTAAAAACCTGAGAGTGGCGAATCTAGATGATTCTTTTCGATGATGAAACTGTTTTTCTAATTCGTATGTTCTTAAATCGTTGATATATTTTTGGAGCTTATTCAATGAAATTAAATTTTATCCAGAAGATGAATACGGAGATTGATAAAATATTTCTTCTAGAGATATGTCATCATTTCTATTGTTCCCACTGTATGAATAATTAAAAACATATGAAATTGTTAGAACAAACAATCAAATCGATTAAAATACAAAGCTTAAAACATATAAATAAAAATCTATAAATTGGAGAATGCTTTATATGTTTATCGAGATTTGTGAAGATGAATGATTATTCTTAATGAATTAGTTGTGTATTTATAGAGTTTCTAAGGTTAGAGAGTTGAAAATCTTATAATGAAATCTTTTTTTGAAATTAATTGTAATAATTAACGAATAATCAAATAATTTGAAAATCCGGAATTTCAGGTAATTCGTTTTAAAATGTTTTCATGTTTCCGAGATTTAAGAGATATACCAATTAAAAATATTTTCTGGAAAAGATTCAAAGATTATAAACAACGCATAATTAAGTTTTATAGATTGAATTTTAGAAAAGAAAGCATTAAATCGATGATATCGTACTAATAACTAATCCTAAATGAAACAGCACTATTTTATTAGATTAATAATTTATGATTTGATTATTTACGGAGAAAATTTGTCAGAGAATTTGTAAGATCGAGATGTGTAGATTTGCATATTTGAATTTATTTTTTTCTGACTAAATATTTTTCTATACTGTTTAGATTGTTACAATATTTGAAATTCAGTTTTTTTTAACTTATTAATTTTCGAAATCATATCTTAAAGATATTTATTGTATTTTATATATTAAAGATATTAATGTTTTCTGAAACTTATTAATTTTGATTTCATAACCAAACTCGCAAGTATTTAATTATGTTTTAAAAATTAGATTTAACTAATAAATACATAAATTTTAAAATTAAATAGAGATGATGGTATAAAAAATTTAATATATTTATTTAATTTTTAAATTTTATTCAATCTTAATATCTTATTTATTGTTTAGAAATTTTTTTTTGATTTACATTAATTTGATTATTTCATATTTAATGGATAATTCGATTTTTTTAAAATATATTTTTAATTAATTAATTACTTTCGAAAACAAAAATAAAAGAATCCAAATTTTAATTGGTCGGGTGAAAAAAATCAGCGTATTTTTAGTGGGTCGGTCAAAAGATCCACATATTTATCCGTTTTCTTTAATTAGTGAGAAGTAATATAATAAATTTGATTGATTTAATAATATTTTTTCATTAAAAAGAAACCAATCAGAATTTTCCACGCGAGCGAAATTGTTATGTCACATTTGACGTAGAATAAACGTCATCATTGACATGGCATAGAGAAAATTTGTCTAATTTTGACCAATCAAATTAAAACAAATCAGTTGATTTCATTAATCTAATTCTCATTTAATATATAAAATAAAACAAATTTTATTATAAATTAATATTATGATAAATTAATAAAATAGCATAGTTTTGACATTATTAATTTATAGAAGTTTTACTGTATTATACAATTTGGTTGGGGTTCTTTGATTAATTATGTTCGATATAGTTTGGTTCATGTATTTTGTCCATTCCTGAATGAAACAAATTACATACAAACGTTCGAAAACTCAAATATACCCGAGCGAGCCTCAGATTCCATATAATAATGTTTTATGAACTGTAATGAGTTTTTATTTTTAAACTAAAAACTATACTGATTACTCCATAATTATGTCAACATGTACATGGTGCATATACTATCCAAGTTTAATATAACTGAGTAAACACTTTCTACAATTTTAAAAATAAAAATATTAATTGGATTACACTATATGAGCCCGAGACAAATATAATTAAGCTATAAAAACGCTAGTATTAACTTTGATTGCATTAGATTCATGATCAAGAAGTTATAAAGCAACAAACAATACATTATTATTTTTTTTTAACAAAACAAAACAATACATTATTGATCAGTTATAATATGTTTAGAGAAAAACATATAGCTCACACTTAATCAGTTACTAGAAGAAGTATCAATTTTTATAATTATAGCAACAACATTGTGGAAACTTTCCACCTCTTGTTGAATCACACTGTCCTCCGTCGTAATGTTTACTTATGCAGTCATTGTAACATTTCATATTTCCGTAAAATCTCATACATGGCCCAATGCAATTGTAACTTGCTTGATCGATTGCTGCTAATATATAACCCAATTACTATAATATAAGACGTTCGATGAAAAAACATTATATATAAATACAAAATGGTTAATGGTTATCAATTCAATATATTATAAAAAAATGTTTAACTGGTTATTGCAAGCTTTAACAAATAATAAGAACTTTAACAAAAAAAAACAGTAATAAGAAAATTGCAAAATTGGTGATACAGAGAAAAAAGTTACAGATATTTACCCGGTTTGGCCAAAATGTTGACGTTAGATGACGAAATTGTCAATATTAAGACAAAGAAAAATCTTACAGATGTTTTTGTAAAATCCATTTTATTTATCTTTCACTAGTAAGTTCTATAGAAAAATATGTTTGTTATGATTTTGTATACCTTTAACAAAACTCTATTTATATGATTTGGGTAAAAATCAATTTGAAACCTAATCTTTCTTTTTTAGTTTTACCATAAATGAATATTTTATATCTGTTCATACAAGAAGAGGGTTCGGGTCAACTGACCATGTATAAAAATTAAAATTCTACAGTAATTATATAAAATTACTTAAATAGACCCAGGAATATATTCAGTTTGACCCTCTTTCCCTTTTTGATTATATTTTCCTTTAATAAAAAAATAGAAAGGAAATTTTTTTATTCAAATGAAGCTAGTTTTTGTTTTTATCTATATATTAATAACTAGAGTTTGACCGATATTACGCATTGGTTATATTTATAAAAATTTTACTGTATGCAAAATATCTGTTTTATATGCTCTTTATTAATTGTTTTTTTTTAATTTGTTACAATACTGGTTTCTTTTGTTTAAAAAAAATATTTATGGGGATTATTGGGAGGTTGATTCATGAAGATTTTTAGAGTTTAAGGTTTTTGGTTTTTGATTTGTGGATTTTTACATTCTTAATAGATTCCACTGTTATTTATTTACAGATTATAATATTCTTTAAAAATCTATTGTTATTGGTTTGATAATTTTTATAATCCAATCAAAATCTATTAATATTCAAAAAGTTTGAACTTTAATGATTCTATAATTCTGTTAAAATCTAGTATTATTGGGATAAAATTTTTTATAATATAACTCATAAATTATGATTTTTAAAATATTATCTATATCTCTTGGATTCACAAAGTCTCTCATATTAAAAATATTTTATGGATTGCTTAAATCCACAAAACTGTTTACAAGTTTTACAAATTACAAAAATTTTTTTGAAGATTTGACAAATCCCATAACTTTTAAAATCAATTAAAATCTTTATAAATCCAACTCCCAATAACCCCCTCCCTCTTTATGTTATACTTTTTAGTAAAAATTGTAAGTTACTGATTTTATTATGTTGTAGTACAAATTTTATTTACTTACTTTATTTATTTTCAGATATTTTAATCTTATTAAAGTCATAATTAGAAGTCTGAACATAATTTATATATGCAAACTTAGTTAAATAGACATCAGTTGTACGAATATTTTCTCTTTTTTTTCAGTTGTTACCTCTCACATTAAAAAATCTAGGAGGTTTAACATATCCTTAAACTTATATTTCTCTCTTTAGACGCCTAATCATCAACGTTAGGAATCCGCTTATATTTTTCTTTCACTCCACTTCTTTTTTTTTCTCATCTAAACCAATCATTTTTTTTAAGAACGTACTGATTACATCTTCATTCTATCATTTCTCAAATCTTCTTTTTTCTTTGTCTCACACATCAATGTGTCGTAAATCATAAATTGAATACAAATTTAGGTCTAAACAGCTTAGTTATACTAAATAACCCAAACTCCAAACCCTACAAAACCTAGAATAATCTTACTTAAATAAATAAAAGATAATAATAATAAAATATTTCGCTGCATAAATACACATTCATAAATAAATAAAAAATGCACATGTAAACATAAGGAATAAATCAAAGGTTTTTTGGTTTTGTTTTTCCTCATGGTATCAAAGTAGAGATCTAAATGAAGACCCTACAAATTTTCTCTGCTTCGCTGCCACCGTTTTATTTTTCTCGAGACTTTGCTTTTGTTTCTTGCATTTTATATAGATTCGTTCTTCATTCTCACTTGCCATTTGGTTTATAAGAAACTATATTAGAATCCACATATATGCGAGTTTCTAATTATACATTTAATACCTATATAATATACATGTTTATAATTAAATTTTGATAATTATGAAAAAATTAAAATATCTATAAAAATAAAATTTATGATAAATTATAAATTTTAAATTTAAATTCAGTATTTATTTTTATTTAGTAACTTTAACTTTTACGACTTTGTTTTTCCAAACTTAAATTTTTTTCAAACTTAAATTGTTTTTTTAGTAATCGGTTTTCTAACTTTGGTTTCAATTATTACTATTTGATTTTTCTTATTTTTATTAAATTTAGCTTTTCTGAAAAACTTTAATTTTTAGTTTTCTATTTTTTTAGTAACATTATTTTTTTAGATGAAGAATCAATTATATATTTAGTTTTTTATATCTTTGTTTAATTATTTTTTGCTTTTAGGATCGATTTACATGTTTTGTTTTTTATTTATTTAATAAATTTACCTTTTAGAATTAAAAATTAATTATAAATTTTACTTTTTATCGTTAATATTATTATATAAAAGAGAATCTCTCAACGTAGATGTGACATATAAAATTTTTATAATTCATTAGATCGTGACATTTGTTTTTTGTCGACAGCTTAGTTACTTAGAACGGCTCAGTAATCCAAACCGGTGTTACCGAATTAACATATATAACATCATGAAGGTAGATCCTGATATTTATCACGGTTAATAAGATGTTGACATATGTAAATATAATAATATTAATTTTCTATTTTTAGTTATTTTTTAAATGAAAAAATAAAAAATGTCAAATGGTTTATACCAACTAGAAAAAGTAAAGTAAGTAAAAAACAAAAACTACCATAAAATTATGTTTTGGAATCTTGATATTTATTTAAAGAGATTGTTTATCAGAATTATGAATAATATGAATCAATTTGTAATTTATTAACTGTAAATCATAAAACACAGATTGTAAATGATGGAATTTTAGTTAAGATTCTAATTATATGGATCATAACTACGAGGGTAATCAATTTTAAAGTATAAAAAATTCTTATTTTTCTAATCTTATATATAATAGATGTGTACAACATAAAAAACTTTTTAGGTTTACCCCTAGGGATGAACCCTTTTATACACCCTCTCTTATTTTAAACAATAAGAATATGATATTTAATATTGAAGTAAATTCAACAAATAAAAAAAATTAAAATATAAATTCATTAAGAAGAAAACAAATAAAACTCAATCCTAAACTTTAAATAAAACAAAAGCTTAATAATTTATATTCTTAATTTGTTGATTTATTTATTTAAAATTTTTAATTGATGAACATCCTAAAATAAAATGATTTTTTTCTATACTTAAATTTAAAATTTTGAAAATAGCACAAATAACTATGTAAAATACTTGTTTCAGTATCTAAAATATATATAAAATAAAACTAAACATTATGATTGAGTTCACTATTTTCTTTAAGAAATATTTACATGTAATATTAAATATCATAATCTTATTGGTTAAAATAAGAGAGAATGAATAAAATGGTTCATTCATAAGGGTGAAGTGAACCAAGAATTGTTCCACTAACAAACCTAAGGGTTAGTAATGGGTTTGACCCATTTACAATTAAGGATTAGGTTTCATTCACATACATATATTACTTTCAAAGAATAATAATTCTCTCGCCATTATTAGCAATATAAACAGAGAGATTAAGTTCACGTGAAACCCTAATTCACTAAGAAACAAGTCCATATCATGAACTTAAGTTTGGGATTTGATTTCAGTGGTAGTAGCATCCTGTTCCAATGCAGTTTGTGTGTGGATACCGATAGATGCACGACACTTGAAGTGCTAAAATAATCTTAAATTGTTTCAATTCATCATCCCGCTGTAGAATATCCAGGTACTAAACTATGAGATCTAGGTTTAATTCAGTATTTGTATGAAATTTTGGCAATTGAATTCATAGTTAATATTTATATATAAATTGCCGTATAAATTCTAACAATTCCAAAATAATTAAAACTATCTCGTAAGAATTTTTGTGATGTGATTATTAATACATGTCATCTTGTAGTGATCCACTCCTAGAAATTTGACTGATGAAGTTAGAGGCAAAATATATATACACTACTTTCTTGAAATTAGGGAGCCTTACCAAGATCAATTAACAAAACCTATGTTCGCCTCATTCCCAAGGTGAAAAGTCCAAAGTCAGTTGCTGAGTACAGGCCCATTGCACTTTGCAATGTATACTATAAGATAATATCCAAGCTGCTCATCAATCGCCTCAGGCCACTACTCCCGAAGTTTATATCGGATACTCAGTCGGCCTTTGTACCTGAAAGAGCAATTGCAGATAATGTTTTAATCACTCATGAAACTCTACACTTCCTAAAGAGTTCATAAGCAACCAAGCATTGTTCAATGGCAATAAAGACTGATATGAGTAAAGCCTATGACAGGCTAGAATGGACATTCATCTCGGCTGTACTAGAACGACTTGGATTTCATGCTAAATGGATAAGCTGGATCCTACAATGCATAACTACTGTCTCCTATTCTTACCTGATCAATGGAACAGCTCAGGGAATAGTAGTACCTCAGAGAGGAATCCGACAAGGAGACCCGCTAAGTCCTTACATCTTCATCCTGTGCAGCGAAGTATTATCGGGTCTCTGCAAAAAAGCACAAAACAATGGGCTATTACCAAGAGTTAGAGTATCTAGATGCAGTCCCAGAATTGATCACCTACTGTTTGCCGATGACACAATGGTTTTCAGCAAAACTACTCCAAAGAGCTTCCAGACTCTAGTCTCTATCCTACACAAGTATGAATCTGCATCAGGACTGATGATCAACAAGCAAAAGTCGGCCATCACCTTTTCAAGCAAGACCCCTCAGGAAATTAAAGATCGAGTCAAACGGACTCTAGGCATTGAACAAGAGGGAGGCACCGGAAAATAACTTGGCTTACCAGAAAGCTTAGGCCATAGAAAAAAATACCTCTTCACAGGAATAGTTGACCGCATCAATCAGAAAGCATTAGGCTGGTCAAATAGCTTCTTATCAAGTGCTGGGAAGCTGACAATGCTCAAATTGGTTCTTGCTGCAATCCCTACACACTCAATGACATGCTTCAAAATTCCTGCTAGTCTCTGCAAAAGAATTCAATCCGCATTAACCAGATTCTGGTGGGACTCTAAACCAGGAAAAATGAAGATGTGCTGGATTGCTTG